AGAGACAAAATGAGAAAAAAAATTCAGGATTTTTAAATAATTTATTTGTAAATTATGGTGGAAAATAAGTATTTGGTCACCCACAAACCAGCAAGATTTCTGGCTCTCAAAGACCTGTATCTTCTTCTTTAAGGAGCTCTTCTGTCCTCCACTCGGTTCCTGTTTGAACCCGTTATCTGTATGAAAGCCACCTGTCCACAGCCTCAAACAGTCATACTCCAAACTCAACCATGGCCAAGACCAAAGACCTGTCCAAGGACACCAGGAAGAAAATTGTAGACCTGCACCAGGCTGGGAAGAGTGAATCTACAATATGCAAGCAGCTTGGTGTGAAAAACTCAACTGTGGGAGCAATTGTGAAAATGGAAGATATACAAGACCACTGATAATCTCCCTCGATCTGGGGCTCCACGCAAGATCTCATCCGTGGGGGTCAAAATGATCATGAGAACGGTGAGTAAAAATCCCAGAACTACACGGAGAGACCTGATGAATGAACCAAAGTAACAAAAGCTACCGTAAGTAACACACTACACCGAGAGGGACTCTAATCCTGCAGTGCCAGGCGTGTCCCCCTGCTTAAGCCAGTACATGTCCAGGGCCGTCTGAAGTTTGCCAGAGAGAATATGGATGATCCAGAAGAGGATTGGGAGAATATCAATAACTTTTTGGTAAAAACTCAACTTGCTGTGTTTTGAGGAAGAAGAATGCACAGTTGCATCCCAAGAACACCATACCTACTGTAAGCATGGGGGAGGAGACATCATGCTTTGAGGCTGTTTTTCTGCAAAGGGGACAGGAAAGCTGATCCGTGTTGAGGGAAGAATGAACGGGGCCATGTATCATGAGATTTTAAGCTAAAACCTCCTTCCATCAGTGAGAGCCTTGAAGATGAAAAATGGCTGGATCTTCCAGCATGACAATGATCCCAAACACACCGCCCGGGCAACGAAGGAGTGGCTCCGTAAAAAGCATTTCAAGGTCCTGGAGTGGCCTAGCCAGTCTCCAGACCTCAACTCCATAGAAAATTCGTGGAGTAAGTGTTGGCCAGCGACAACCCCGAAACATCACTGCTCTAGGAGATCTGCATGGACGAATGGGACAAAACACCAGCTACAGTGTGTGCAAACCTGGTGAAGACTTGCATGAAACGTTTGACCTCTGGCATTGCCAACAAAGGGTATGTTACACAGTATTGAGTTGAACTTTTGTTATTAAGCAAATACTTATTTTACACCATAATTTAAAAATAAATAAATCCTACAATGTGATTTCCTGGATTTTTTTTTTTTTTCATTTTTGTCTCTCATGGTTAAAGTGTACCTACGATGAAAATTACAGACCTCTCTCATCATACCAAGTAGGAGAACTTGCACAATAAGTGGCTGACTAAAAAAAACATGACATCAACAAGTGTGACATGCTAAACATATACATCAACTATTGTAAATAAAAGTGGATTAAAATGGAGACTGAAAATATTAAATGTCTAATTTGTATATTTGATCTATCCCCACCAAAAAACAAAGTCATTTAAGTGCAACATTGTTTAACTTTTTTGTCTTTTGTTTTGTTCTGTAGTCATTTTAGAGACCAATAAGCATTTCAAAACTGTGAGGTTGGAACAAGTTTATGTACTAGCCAAAAATAATCAAAACTGGGGGTGAAGCCACCTGGATTTGGAAAACACCCCGCTCAATAAACCAGGTGTGAGGGCGCTTTAAAACACAGCTGTGAATAGGAACATATGATTTAAAGGTCATAGTGTGAGCCACAGATCTCAAGATACGTGTATGATGGATTTATGACAAGACGAGGCTAAAACAAGTGAATCCAATTCAGTCCTACAGATCAAAACGCTTGGAAGGAGCAGTTCTGCTCCTCAAATGTTCAGTGGTTTTAATACACTGTCCAAAAGCTGCTGAAACCAGGGTTTCTCTTACCAGTTCAGAAACTTCAAGAAAGATCTCCGAGCCACAACAGATGTATACCTATCTTTAAACTTTCCGCTATCTATATTTGTTGAAAGAGAAAACCTCTCAACAGACGTGTTCCCCTAATCTAAAAAAAATGGAGCAGGTCTATTCTGTGCAGGTGGCACTGCAGAAACAATACATGCGACCTCTTTTCCATTCCTCTACCTTTATCTGTTCTTCACTAGAACAGAAGGTCAGAGGGAATTTCCTAAAATTGTTTCAACGCCAGCCAGTCCTGGCTAACAGAAGGAAGAACTCGTCTTCTGATGTCTGTGGGGGGGATAATGTTAACCTTGCCTTGCCTCATAAGCAGGCAACCACTTTACCATATGTGGGTCTTGCAGGAATGTGCATGCGCACAAATCCATAAGCACACAGGCACATGCTTGAGTAGACAGCCACACAAAACCACTTTTACACAGGCACACATGCGTACATTTCCATTGTCTTCTCTTTGTTCTTCGTTCGCAAGTTGGTTGCTCTAGCCCTTTTTCAGGGCCCCGTCGGAGACAAGGGACTCGTGTTGTGCACAGAGAGGTCACACGCACACCTGCTTTCTGTGCAAGACTGTGTGCTACACAGGAAGTAGTTGGAGAGATGTTTGCCTGGAATTTGCACAACAAATTTTTTGTTGTGTTTATGAAAAATTCTTATGAGAACATATATAAACTACTGCCATCAATTGATAAAAAACTAAACTAAGCCCCATTTTTCTGCACCTAATATTATAGTATATATTTTTACACAGTTAATCTCCAAATGAATCTAAAATAATATTAAGTTATCAAGCACTTCACTCTTCACGGCTATAACCAATTCACCCAATGGTTCTATTTATCACTGCGCAACACCCTTAGCAACCACCCGTATCAACATAAACGGAGATGTTCAAATAAATGTAAATAAACAAAAATGAAAGAAAAAAAATGCATCTCTTGTTAGGCAGCATTCTAGCAACTCAATCAATAACATTAATAAAATATATAAAATAGGCCACCTATCAAAATATATGCCCTTGTGTTTTTATTTATGTAAATATTTAGTAAGGTTTATAAATAAGTGCAGAGAGAAATTGACGGAATAAACAGAAAATGAATGTTAATTGTCTCATACTGAGAGATAAGCTATTTTATAGAGGAAATATTACATTCTTTGTTGTGAAAAAAAATGAAAAAGTTTGAGGATGTTTCCTATGTTGTTTTTATTTGAGCTTTCATGCATATTACACATTTAATCATTGTTGCTGTTCACGGTTAGGGACTATTTTTTTCAAGCGATTTTACTTTGAAAAGTTGAAAGTTGATTTGAAAGTTGCACTAATACATATTTTTTTACTCAAATATTTTTATTGTGCGTTAAACGTTTTATAAAATCAATAAGGTACTCAAGGCATGTGTTGTATCGTGAATAAGTCACGGCTGAACTCTGTGTCGTGCCTAACAACGCCCTTCAGCCGTGACTTATTCACGATACACCACTAGTCTCTCAAACCTTATTGCTTAATTAAAGCTACGAATGTTATCCAGTCATGAGCAGTGAGTGATTTTCTATGTCTTTTGTTCTGTGATTTACATAAATGAAAGACATCACAGCCACCGGTTTATTAGGCTGCTGTCACTTTAAGTACTGAAGCACATGATGCGGATCTGACACATATCCCATGGACTCAACTCTTTACGGTCATTTAAGATTTTATTTAACTCATTTAAGATTATGTCTTTTTTATGTCTTATCACGCTTGAATTGTTTAATTCAGTTGAATAAATGATTCAACCGCAGCCAAATGATGACGGAAAAAACAATACTGCCTTAATTGTGATAAGGCACAATGTATGAACTAAATTCAAATGGCGCCCGGTGGCTATTTTTGGTACTACGCCTAAACAAAATCTCATGGGAACTTAAATTTTTGTGATATCAACTTCAAATTTGGAACATAACTTGGTTAGATTTATGGCTTTGATTTTATAGTAATTTTAAAGTAAAAATATTTTGTAAAACATATATTTTATATAAAATAAAAAATATATAGTACAGTGTATTTGATTTACTGTAAATTTAAACTTCGTAACTTTTTCATACTTTAATTTTTTGAAGTGTTGTCACTTCAGAAATAATCTCCTGAGTGTTTTCTTTAAAACAAGACCAAAACATATGGTATATATTCCAAAGCATACTTGAATTAAAACCATTTAAGTGTGAATAGTTCATTTTAACCCCCATTCTCAAAAGGGGACAGCTAAGAGGTTAAACGGAAATGCATGTGTTAACACGTTAATTTTGACAGCCCTAAAACACACACACATGCATATCTAAACAGTTTAATATACCATTTTGTTGAAGATACCAGGTACATTGTTTTCTTTCACTGCTGTTGGATGCATTGTTTTTATACAAGACTGTGGTGAAGACTTAAGTAGAGCTGCTGCACACAGACGGATGCGGTACACAAAGCAAACAAGCACCACTGGGCCTTCTGTCGATTGGCTCCCTACTTCCGTCTGACCTCCAGCCAGAGGAAAGCCACAAGGCTGCGACTGATTGAGAAAGAGTAAACAAGACTGCGAGTGTCTCTGAGGACACTTACTCAGTCTCTCTCTCTCTCTCTCTTACACATGCACAAGCCATTCATGCTGCCTGGGACACAATCGCATCAAAGACTTGAGCTGTAATTCATTCATAATGGTCTATATTTACATAATACATGCAGCAGACACAAACCTTTGGATACAGTAAAAATCTGTGCATGTATGTCTATTCTGTCAGTCTCTGTGAAAACATGACTGGGATGTTTTCTTAGCTGCAGCGGTCCTCTTAACATGACATTTTTTTTGGGTGAGACTGCTGTACGATCCCTCAAATCCCCCTTCTACCCTACCCTCATCCAGCTTTTCATCTTGTGTCCTTATTTTTGCATTGTTAAGTCCAACGTCCTCATTTGGAAGGACACAGCTGGATGTCTATAAGCTAAAATGAAAAAAGAATAAGGGATTTGGTCCCCCTCTGCAGGCCAGAGGAAGTTACCATTGAAGTGAGGACCACTGGGTCTCCCTCACACAGATGATCCTTCGGTTTCCTCGTCAGATCGGTCCACTTGTTGGGTCTGTTGCAAAAGCAGGACCTGGTTGTCCAGGCATGTCCTCAGTTTGTCTTCGGTCAGTGTAAGACGCTCCTCGAGGACAGCAACGGTCTGAGATATGAAAACCAACAGTTTAAGCCATAATCACATTAGCGACATTTTGTAGACTGGGTTAGTGTAGCTATTTATGACTCACAGCTCACACAGAAGTCACTTTCTGTTGGGCAACACAGCAAATTTGCACGACCAACTTAAATTTCTTGCAAAATCTGCATGAAGAACTCTTTCACCCTCACACAAAATTCCCCATTGCATGGATTCCTAATAAAATGACTTGATTTTAACCACAAAAATGGTCAAACAATAGTAAATATGACCTTATCTTTAAACAAAGTTCAAATTTGACAAAGGAAAAACAAGCTGATTTGCTGGCTAGATCTAGACAAAATAGCACTATTCAACAGAATTAGATGACCTAAAAGCAGTTCACCTGGGTCAGGATGTCCAACTGCTGTACAATGTTCTCCAGAGTGCTAGTAAGGTTTGATGGGATACCAGAGTGCTCGGCTGCAGATGCTGTCATGCCACCAGGAAACCTTTCTTCTTCATCCTCCCCATCTTTGGGTCGATTATGAGTCCTAGCTGGACCTGAGTCAATACCTGAGATGTGCTGACCTCTGCTGCTTGTGCCAATATCATGGCTCCTTACATCCTGAGGAATTAGGAAACCAAAATTAAACATTTTCACCATCATATCATTCCAAACTTGTTTGACATTCTTTCTTATGCAGATCCCAAAAGGGATGTTTGGCAGAATGTACCAGGTGCTTATTTCCAATGAAACAACATAAAATTAGTATTGGTATTTTGGCCTGTTCCTCAATCAGAGCTATTTTATGGCTTCATAAGACTTCATAATGAATGGCCATTTTTGGAGCTTGAAAGAAATGATTCCTATTCACCTTTTCCTCATCCATATAAATAATGGTGAAAGTACCTCATCATTTTAGATACAGGAACTCCTTTTTGGGGTAGTAAAGATTTTAAAAAAGGCATGTACTCACAGTTTATAGACTTATTTACTCCATGAACATAGAAAACAGTGATGGAAGGGCTGGGGACCACTGAGAAAATCCTACACAACTTTGAAGGAACCAAGCTAGCTGTCTCAGATAGCAACATTGGCCACACGGCAAATGCTATAATATTTTTCTGCTAATCAAACAAGAGAATTGGTCATAGATTTTGGCCCTAAAAAAATGTTTCATCCAAAACGGTGCATCAAAAACAATGTTTTAATTTCTTCTTTTGTATTACACCGATTAAAAAAAATCATATAGGTTTGGTATGGTTCATTGTGGTAGACATTAGTTGAACATGAAAAAAAATGCACATCACAGTCATCTTTTTGCTAACAATACATGATAGAAACACAGAATTAGTACATGGGCCTCTGACCCTATCATGCACACAACCAAAATCTTGAACAGTTCCAGAAGAGAGAGACAAAGCGAAGAGGAGGAGGGGAGGGTCATACATTCCTGCCCTAATGCAGGAAGAAAATCGATTGCAGACCCTTACTTCCTGTGCAGCGTCCTGACTTCAAAGCTCAGGCCTGAGAGACAGCATCATGGCCTAGGAAGGGAGGGAGTAGGTGAACAAAGCTGTCAGTGTGTTGAAGGGTTGGTTCTGGGGTCCTCCTGCACCCACCAGCCACATCTGGAAAACATCTGCTAGCCTCATTTACACGCTTCATGCTCCGACCTCGATCATGCTAAGCTCCAAACCTAGTATCTTCTTCCGTGTGTGTTTAGTTTCTCTATCCTAGTGGAAAACAGCCCTTGGAAAATTCCGTCTGTGCTAGTAGCAGTGTCTCATTTATGAAAATGACTGAGGTAAGGTAAGGGTCTCTGTGTATGCATGACATAACGGTTCAAACCAGGAAAGAATCTCCAGCTCAGATTCCTCTAAATAAGGGCTTTTGCACTGGTGAGTTATAAGAACTAGAGAAGTCCCCCTAGAGTGAAATGTTCCCCTAGGACCAAATTTATTTGGCATACTACTGACAAAGCTAATAATGTGCATCTTTTATCTTTAATTACACATTGTAATATGAACAACCAGTGAGTCTTACAATAGTAAGCTGTATGCGTTTGATTCACAAAAAACAACAACAACAACACACAATCGTATTGTTTACTGCACAAGACAATTCATTTATTTGACTTTTAAGGTTTTCCAGGAAAAATCAGAGGCAACCTTTTCAAAGCAGAAATAGCTCTAACATTAGAGTTATCTTACTGTCATATCTAATCGCACATAACGCTGCCTTACCAAAGCGGAAAGGTCAGACTTGGCCTAGTGTTTCTTTCTCAATGGGCTCAGGTTAAGCAAGAGACTATCCTGTGTTGCAGGGTGAATGAGTGACCTCAGCTTGATTGCTTCACCAGTTGCCATGACAACAGGGGTACCTGGGGTTGCTAGCAAAGAATTACACTCATTCTGTTCCCTTGGTGACAGTGTAAGCGATATGTGAACCGACTTCAATCTTTCCCGGACCGTTCTGAGAATGTGCGTCTTATTAACAACTGATGTGTTCAGTCAAACACAACACGGTGTTGCAGTCTGAAGTTTGAAGTGGGCACAGGTGGGTCATTACAGTTTGAACATATTCATTCAACTCTGAGACCAAGGGTCTTTATGCCAGCACACTGAGCGCTGATATAAATTTATGTCAACGGGCTAGCTGGCCGCTAAGCAGGTACTTCACTGGGCCATTGGGAATATTTATGAGCTCCCTAAACAACACCGAAACCCCCCCAACAAACCTTTGAAATATCACTGCTTTCCTCATTGAACACCTGGGAAATGGAGCATAATGACTGGATACTTGACAAGATCAGAGCAGCCGTTGAAGTCGTGTCTGGTCGTCTACTCATTAAAAAAAATGGGAAGACACCTTCTTCAACGGCCCCCTCACAACAATATCGACTCCTCATTAGCGCTAATATTAGAACGATGTGTCCGTGCCAGTGCGAGAAATGTCAAATGTCCTTCATTTGCAGAAGCGTATGCTTGTCCTCAAGGATAGGCACTGAAAGTCCCCAAATGGTTTTATATTTTAAACAGATAAGCACTCTCTCACTGCCACTAAACCACTCGCAGATCTGGTCTTGTGACAGAAGATATTTCCTTGTCACAGGATGCCATGTAATGCCATTAAAGTGAGCTCTCTTGTACAAGGAAATCCTTATTGAGATCAAGGAAGGAGGCATTAGCTCTTTGACCTGCAAGCCTCTTTATAGTCCAATATCGCCAAATCTTTTTCTTTCAACAGTCTTTCTATGGATCAGAGGCTGGTTTCTGCCGTGTGAAGTGTCTTCTAAAGGTTGTCTATAATGGGGTTTAAGGTAGTATCTGGCTTCAGAACTCAATAAGACTCAATTTTGAGATCTCTAAGACTCAACTGAGACTCTGAAACAACTGACAGGAAAAATGGGAAAAAGAAAAGAGCAATTTTAGACTCTTAAAATAATGCTGAAAAATTATTCATTGCTTTTAAGTGAACCGTCTTGGATTTAAGTCACTATTTGGAATGGATTCATTGACTATTTGTCAATGAATGGATCATTTTTGCAGTGATCATTATTGCATTAATGCATGTTATATGTCTGGCATAAGTTATTTTTTTGCACATGAATGTAGACCTTACATTCATTGAAAGTCTTTAGGATGTGCTGGAGGGGACTTTACTGTGTGCTTGACTCTTGGATTGTCCGTCATTACATGATCTTGACTAAATTGATGCAGAGGAGTCAAGTAACCAGTAAAGTCTTCTCAAGCACATCTTTTTGCTTGCTCCTAATCATTTTCACAATTTGAGCTTGATGCATCTTGATATTGTCATCCTGGTGTATGGCCATGATGCATCTTCTTACGTGGTTGTTTAAGAAATAAAAAGCTACACACCATCAATTAGGGTTAGAAGAACTGTTTCCAAATGCATAACATGCTAGAAACATAATAATAATTCAATAATGATCCAATCATAGACTTTTAAGCATGAATCCAAACAGACACACACACACACACAAAAATAGACTTGTGAATGATAAGCATTAATGTCTGGACAGTTCATTACAGTTAAAAATCCCTGCACCGCTATATCATGTTATCATATTTGCACATGTCCTACTTCACTAATTTCGATGACGGCTATTTTTGCAAGCCAAGCCTGACTTCTTTATTATGGTGTATTTGACCCTCGCACTGGCTGGCCTAGTGGAAAAGTGAAACCAACACTTGTCACTCTGAATGTAGGCCATATCCTGTCAGGGGACCAAAACCACAGCTGTCTGCAGCATAGAAGGTCAGGTTATGGGTGAAGCCCAAAGAAGACCTGCTTTTGCTTTGGTGTGTATCGGTGCTCAGGAAATTGGGCTTTGAAAAGGGTCTTAGTCCCGAAATGAGAAACACACGCTTTCAAGACGAACAAACACATGCATGTACACGCAAAACTTGACCCTGGCCCTTAAAAGCAGAGCTGTTTGGTTAGTTTTCCAGATGAAAAGATGTACTGAAAAACCAATATGGAATATCAGAGATGGCTCCAGCATGCTATGGTAGGGGAAGCAGACACTTCCTTTTTCCCTCTCCGTCTGTTCTCGTATCAAACCACCATTCGCTCGCCCACACGTTGGCTTCAGGGAAGATAAATATCCGTTTTCAGAGATACCAAAAAACTGCAGTATTTTATAACCAGCTCTGTGACTAAGTGGTTATGTCACATTTCGATTGTGACTGAGGTGAACGCCCTCATCGGGAACAACACAACCAAACACCGCAATAAAACTTGCAAATCGCTGTCAGTACAATCTCATCTGCTCTTCATGAGCCGTGTTCACAATGAGTGCCGACACCACCAGTGACCTGAAACCACAAAATGCCAACTCCAAAGGATATGATATAACTCGATTATGCAAACGAGGATGCACTGAATAAATGAATCTGGAATAAAAAGAATGGATTCAAAAACAATCAGACAGAATGATATCAAATCATTAGGGGATTCTTTGTAAATAATTTAATTAGAATAAAAATTCGACAGGTGGAACTCAAATCGGAAGCCCTCGTTTGAAGAAAATGGGGGATCCCTCCACAAAACAGTCAAAGAGGGAGGATGAATGCTGTGTTCTGACCCAATTCCTATTGGAGGCACAGTTTCCAGATCCCACAGACTGGATGAGTCATCAGGCGCATTCACGCTCACACACACACCTAATGGTTCCAAATGCCCCAAAAATCACAAAACCGAAACGTATGGAAAATTAAAACAATGTGTCATGTGTATGAAGGAGGGGGCATTGAGAAGGTCGGGTGATGCTGAAATGAGGGAAGACACTCATTCCATCACATCTTGAACATTAAAAGTACTAGGGGTCATATAATTCCATTTTTGCAAGTTAATATGAATGTTTAGGGTCTAAATGAAAACTTTGTAATATACATTTATTAAAAATTCTCATTAGTATTTTAAGAAAAAAAAAACACTCTTTTTACCTGGTCAAAAACAGCTCTGTTTTCAGCACGCCGTTTCAGTGCATATGCCTTTAAATGATAATAAGCTTTGCTCACCCCGCCCCACTGTTCTGCTGCCGTTTTGCACGTGGAGTGTTGCCTTGACAACAGTTGAGGGTATATTTTGGAGAAAGA